CACTTAATTTAAAAGTAAATTAAAATCATGCATTACAAAAATTGATAGAGCCCTTATTGAGGATCAAATATACTTTTAAAAGAGTAAACAGAATTAAAGAAAAGGAAAACCTAGAGTGTACAAATTAAGGCTTCATAAACAAATTACAATTAAAAACCCTTTCACTGAGCAACAGCCAATTTACTGATATTCTGTATATGCATAATCTCTGAATTATTTTTGCCTATACTAAATCAATCATTGTGTATATTAACTACCTAATTTATGCGATTTTGATCATACGGGTAGATTTTTCTAAAAGTTAATATAATAATTCATTATGTAATGTTGCCTAGAGCACTGTTTTTTCTGTCGTTGTTGTGGTAAAGCCAGTTTGAAGGTCAAAAGAATTTTTTTGTTCATTCTTATTCAATAAAATATACTAGATACTCTTATGTTGCAATCAGCAGACGAATTTGCTTCGTGTAGCGGCTAGTGTCGTTATGGATGATGCTTCAATTTCTTCTCAAATTTCGGCTGTTTTGAGTGCTCATTGGACATTTATTTTACTAAAGACTGAACCTTACCATATTAAATTAATATTCTACGCGTAGCAAGAATACAAGTATTCCTGTAAGCAACTTCCATTAATCAGGGATAAAATTAATATTTTTCGTCTATCATCGCTGTTTCTCGCACTCGAAAGTATATTCTCGTCGATGAAAGAACACAACATTTTTGTCCGAGGGCTAAATTTCTGGCTTCTAAATTCTCACGTCTTTAGTTTAAGGCACTGACTTGGCCAATATAAAGCTAGTTCTTTGATGTGTATTAGGAGATGGCATTGAAATTTTATAACTTAACCTAAATTAAGCTAACTATCACGTTTCGGCGGACATCAAAAGATACTCAAAAATGTAAGTACCACAATTTTTATCCATTTCAGATCTTACCTTAGCATTATACATTCCTTTTATTTTTATAGGATATTTAAAAATATACAATCTATACGCCTAAATTATTGTATTGCCAAATATGTAGCTCTTAAAATTAAACATGTTTACTTAAAATATGGCCAAGGAATAAAAATGATTTCATTTATATTCGTTTTCTCGTTTATGTGACTTTCTGTGTGGCTTCACTCATCGCTGAGAAATGGAAATTGTAGAAACATTACGTTCACATTAAATATAGTTAAGCAATCAACCTTCTGCAGAAATGATGAAATTTCGATAAAGCATAGAATTTAATTATAAATACGTGTTTCATTTCAGAGACATTATTTAAGAGAATCCTGTTTAATTTTGAAAATCATAACTTTCGTGTAACGAAGCATGTATTTGCCTATTAATCGGCACATTCATTGTTTCAATTCCGCGGAGAGTAATGCGATGATGGCACGATGAGGCAATGGGGAAATTACTAAGTAATCTGGAGAAATAAGGTGTTTTCGGATGTGTGACATCGTGAATTTCAGTAAAAAATAGAGTTTTCTCCCTGCAATTGTTTGTGGATAGAATCGTCTCTCATTCATATACAAAATTGGCACACATCACGAATGTCAAACTTTAAGGTTCCTGATGTCCCCAACGCTTTGGTTTATTCAGATTGGACTGCATATTTTAACTACTTATACCCGATCAGTATTCCAAGTGAAATACAAGTTGAATTGTGGTTCCAGATGAAACAAGTTTACCAACAGACCAAAGAACTGGTACCGAGTATTCTTGCTCAGTAATTAATTTCCCTATTCTCCTTGCCACCTGATCTATCTTGCTTCATCTCATTCTCATCCAAAATAACACGAACCCTCAACAATATGCAGCCAGTGCTGGTGATCACCACTGACAAGAGCATAATTCGTCTGCCCCTTTCTCGCTGCGGTCGTCTCCAAGACTCCGGCAGACAGACAGAACAGCTCTGCTACCTACAGGCTGACCCCTATTGCAGTTGGAGCCACAGTCAGGCGGCCTGCCTGCCCATCAACCGACTCTCCTCAGATAAAGTTGGTGACGACGGCACCAGACAAGGCCAAGCGAGACCGAACTCAGACTATTGGCGTGGCGTAGTGAATCTGCTTTCCTTTGAGGCGCCGAGAAGGCCAGGAGCAAATGTCGGCGGTGGTATTGGTAGGGGCCCTGGAGGGTCTGAGATCCACGGGCCGAGGGAGGCGGTTGGCTACAATTTTTGTCCTTCAGGCTGGCGTCTGCCGTCCGGATTGCGCATAGACGGAGCCTGGAGTCGGTGGTCCCAGTGGGTTGCCTGCTCGCCAACCGAACTGATGCATCTGCCCACCGGCTGGACTGCAGCGTCGCTGCCGACCTCCTTGTCCGGCTGCATGTGCCGTTTTCGCTCGTGCTCATCTCCGCCCGCGCAAGACAGCTCATCGTTGACGCCGGCGGACTGCCGGCCCGGGTCTGACGGCGCCGGAGCTCAAGTTGCCAACTGTTCAGTGAATGGAGCCTGGACGGCCTGGTCCGTCTGGTCCGGTTGCCAGCCGGTCTGCGTGCCAGCCTCGGCGCTTGGGATGAAAGCCGCCAGCCCTCAGGCCCGCAGGTGGCGCGAGCGGTACTGTGAGAATCCTCGACCGAGAGGACCCAAAGGAAGACCCTGCCTGGGAAAGGGTCGGGAAGAGGAAGTTTGTCCGACACCCACAGTGACGTGTGAAGGTGAGCAGGTGTGAATGGTGTGAATAGACGCCTTTACTTGACTTAGCCTCGTATTTGTACATTAATCGTATCTCTAGGGCATGTTCCAAGAATGCACCATTTACCGCACCCTCTGATATCGGACCGTCATTGAATGGACACCTTTACAAACATTTTCTTGTGATGATTTGCAGCCCGATGCTACCTGCAAAAAGTCTGGAAAGGCGCCAGATCAACAGTCGATAGTGAAGGAACATGTGAGGACAATGGCAGATGGTGAAAAACAGGGTGCACTTCTGAAGGCTTCCCCAAAAAGTACAGCAAAATTTTAGAACCGAGGTTTATTACGTATCTAAAGTGATAGGATACTGTGACCAAACCAAAAGCCAAGCCCTCTTTGTCGTCTTAACTACGATCCAACTATAGTAAAGTTGTGATAGCTTAGTTACGAGTTGACATCTTGACCATCAGCAGGATTTGATCAAGTTTGGTTGGAGAACATCTAGAAATCTTCTGAGCCTATCCTAGACGCATTATGAAGTATTCTGATTATGCAAACTTTTCACTTGACTATATCTTGATCTGAAAAATACATTATGAGATTTTATGCAGGGTCCAGCGGTTGCTACCCCCGCGTCGCTAGCACAGAATTAGGCATATAAGAACATGCTGTCACGACAACGGGAGCTAATCACCTTGGTGATAGGTCAGGCCATCCTACTCACGTCCTTTAGTGAAGCCTTGGAGACCCAAATCCTGCAATCAAGTCTCTTATTGGCGCCTTTCTCACTGACTAAACCTGAAATTTCCATTGAATTTTACATAGTCTTGCTTCCAGACAGAAGTAGACTGCAGTTTCGACCTTGCATCGGTCTTATCAACACCCCCAGCGGGAGTCGAACCGTGACAGTGCAGAATAGTAGCTTGACACGTTAACCACTCTACCACATTGCAACAATTGCCTTTGGGTCACAGGGCAAATGTGAATTTCAAGGAAGGCCAGGCCTTTTTCCATATCATATTCTTTGATGGGATTGTCGATGAAGCAAACGTATATTTGCTATAACAACGTTACTTAATTTTTCGCATTTAAGTATTGTTTTGAGACAACCAGTAAATCATTAATATGAGATGTAAGTTTCTGCCTCGCCCTACTTGAGTCAATCGCTTTGATGCCTATACATAAACGTTTAGAGAGCGTAATGGGTCTATTTCACTTTAAATGGAGGCATAATCGAAGAAAGTGACAAATTTTCTTTGAAAACTATTTTTATCTTCCGGTTCCCCACCGTTTCGCCTATCTTCTTAGAAGGAAAGCATGACGGAAGGATTAAGGTATGATAAAAAATCCCAGCTTGCCTAGCTCTGACTCTTGATGATATCGTTCAGCTTAAGAATTTCGTGCCTTTTTTTGTTGCCTTTGTTTCTGGATCAGCATGGTAGGGTGTATAAGTAGGCAACACCTGATATTTTTATAAAGAAAAGCCGAGCTTCGGAGATTCACTTTCGTTATGCTTAAAGAGAAAAAAGAAAAAGATTCGTAAGTTAGTCCCACTGCAAGCCGAAGAAGTGCTTTGGAGCTGAGACTCTAGATTTGTACGAAAAGGCCCTTGGATCTCCCGTGATATACGTCAAATGAAGATCGAAAACTAAGTAGGAATTCATCGGAGTCGTGGGAATGTAAGCCGAAGGCGTTTTTGCATAAATCTACAGTTACTGTTCCAAGGATATCATCCTCCTTCAGCTTCCTGTGAGTCCGAATAGCAAATCCCTTTTAATCGCTTCTTCAAACGATATGAAAGGTATGTCAACATCAGCCAATAGTTGTGCTTACAGATACAGATTACTTTTGGCACAAAACTGGCCTTTAGAGATCAAAGACGGCTTTTCCAACTAGGAAATTAATTTGTATGGTTTCTTGCCTAACTTCTTAAATTGATTCTTCACTGCCCAACTGACAAATAAATCCAATTATCCAGAAAATGGAAATTTTTGTTTGTCAAAAGAGAAGTGAAGTGGGTCGCTCGTTTTAATGAGACCATCTTGAAGCTTATAAGTTATAGGATCAGATCAAGCTTTAAACACTGGTTTCACATTTTGAGTTAATAACTTATTTAACCTAGCTTGTTTCTCCCTGTTTTGAAATATTTGCTGGCATTAGATAACATAGTTGGGGCGACTTTCATTTCGTATGATAGTGCATGCTCAAAATATTCGTAGGTCGATCTCTTCAGAAGACGACGGCTGATTCCCGTCGTGGTGCAGCCATTTGGCCTTAATACGACGTTCAGGTTGGCGCAGACCACGATACGTCCTCCCTTGTTTTGTGTGAAAACGGGTTGAGCTTTCGTCCATCATTGGATGGACATGATCAGAGCTGAAAATCATTCTTACAACAATCCCGAGTTAACAGTAGGTCAAGAATACTGACCAGCTCTATCTTACGTCATACATATGCTCATAACTAAAAAAGCAAAAATGTATAGATATAGATAGCTATAGAATAGTTTGGCCAATTCCCTTTTATATTGATCATGGTACTTTTAGATACGAAGAGAAAGTTGGTTTCGATGGATCTTCTGAGATAACATTGTTAGGGGACCTTCATTTCGAATAAAAGTGCATAAATAAGAGATTCGTTATTCGATCTCACCAGATGAGGACGGATAAAACTCTTTGTCTGCAGCCGTTTGAATTTTACACAATATTTATCTTAACGCAGTCGACGAGACTTCCTCTCTCGTTTCGGGTGAAAACGTCTGAGCTTTCGTCCATCATATGATGGACATCTTTAGAGTTGGGTGTCATTCTTGTAAAAATCTCACGTTAATACTAAAGCAAGAACACTATTCGGCTCTATTTTACTTCTTATATAGACTCAATCAAGTCAAAAAATAAAAAATAAAAAATCTAGATAAATTGATATAAAGTGGTTCGGTTAATTTTCTTTCATACCGGTTCTGTTATTTTTGCTCGATTGTATGAGTATGTATATTTGTGCGTGTT